AGCTTTTCATTTATTTCCATCCTTACCCCCTTTGCTAGCTGTCTGTAAAGTTTCGTCACGAAAGCCTAATTGATATTGTTAAGTTCTTCCATTCTCCTAAGTAAATCATAAGCTTATGCGATAGAAATTAAATAACACTTTTGGGATTTACTTTTGATGTAAAGGAAGTTCCAACAGCCAACAATGCACCCATTACAATAAAACTTTTTCTTGTCTCATTTTTTTGTTAAAATTATTCTGTGTATCTGTGAAGATAGTATTTCTGAGTAATGATTGCAAATGTGTTCTTCTACATAGACTGAGCTAATTGGATGATAAGAGTGTTGCTTTCGTTCACTCGAGATCCATGATACCGTCAACAGCTTTAGACGATTTCGTTTATCTACCAAGATCTACGAAGCAAAAAATGGAATTGTTACGTGTTTCAAACGGCTATACGGTTCTTCTGAAAACCAACTGTTTTTCTTCTAAAGATCTCGTACTTTAATGTATTTTACCCATGCAGGTTGTGTGAACAGGATTTGCAAAATATTACCAAGGATTCAACTGTTTTAAAACTTCTCTATCTTTATCCTATATTCCATTTCGTACTGTTTAGAGAAATAACTAGCTGAACACTAGCTTCCTTTTTAATAAATCATTAATTATTTTACGTCGTTACATCACGATGTAAGATGGAAAACATTCTTAAGCGCATCCAGAATTGCTTAAAAGATACCTGAAGCAGATAAAAGTAATGATGTAAACAATTTCCGTCTCTTTTCAAAATAGATAGAGAAATACAAATGAATTATAAAACCATATGTGCGGAAACCAATAGCTAACAAATTATCAGGGCCTTCCCTAGAACGCTAATTGGGGGGGAGGGGGGTATTTTATTCATAAATTCAGATATGCCTACTGATTTCTTTTGAAAGCAATTCACCTAAAGAATTACGCAATTCACATTCAAAAGAAATCCGTCCATCAAAATTGAATATATGAATATACACCCCCACCCCAATTAACGTTCTCGGGAGGGCCCTACAAATTGTAGTACCAGTTGCGTTAGGATAAATAATTATGTATTAAATGAAGTCTAAAAAGTTCTTGAAAATTGTTACTGTTTAACAATTTACGTATTCATTTCATTTGGGAACTAGTTGGAAATCAGAAAATTTGCAAATATTTAAAAATCAATAAAAGCAATGGTGGTTCCACGTGGTGAATTTGAGAAGATGTTTCACAAACTATTTATGTGACGTCTTTCACCATAATATAGTGAAAAAACGTTTTACACGTAACGTACTAAACAGATTAAGCCGACAACAATCACAAAAGAAAATCACATCACAAAAAATCCACAGTCAATTTCCATTACAAGGATATTCACCTAATTTTATTGCATCAAACTTCGCATGTCAAATTTTCTTGAAACCTTCGAGTTTGAATGTTTTTTTTTGAATCTTATTAAAACATGAACTTTTTTGTAACCGAAATGGTTAACAAACAAATGTTCTGACATGTAAATTATAAATAACTAATTTTTATACATATATTTACAACCAATAAACAATTAAAAACTAATATTTAGTTACGGTTACTTCTTATAATACTTTGTGGTAAAAAGAAATTTTTAAAACGTTCGGTCATGCAACAAAAATGTTAGTAAGATCCACAGCTTCTTATGACGTAATTAGGAAGTGGTGTTTAGGATTCATATCATTGTTCATAAAAATTTTTTAGACAGATTGTCACGTCGATTTTTAAGGTTAAAATATTCACGTACTCCAAAGCTTTTTCATATTTCAATGACGGTATAATTCTTCTCAACGCACGTTTTTATAGCTACTACTTCAGTTTCTTCACATAAAAAATCAGGGCTGTTTAAGTACCATACTTTGCAAGGATATTCAAGTACAGATCTTATGACAGTGGTATATACTATTAGTAAGTTGTTTATATTAGCATTTGATTGTTTTAGTATTCTTAACATATACAATCTTTTCATAGCTTTATTAACAATATAGTCGACGTGTTTGTTCCATTTCATATTATGTTGAATAATAAGTCAAAAAACAAGAGAAGATTTTACCCTTTCGATCTCAAATCCTCCAACATGTAAAGGTGGAAACGTTCTTTTATGTTTAGAAACATCTACGATTAGTTCTTTCCATTTAGATACGCTAAGTTTCATTTTTTTTTTGAGTTCCATGTGGGATGCTTTCGGTAGCAGTACAGTCATCGACTAATTTCCATTGACCCGGCCACCATTCTGAAAAATCTTTAATCATTACTTGGAAAAGTATCGGACACAAATTTGTTCCTTCGGGTACACCACTGTTGATGGCTCGCCATTTAGAGACGCAATCGTTTAGTTTCATGTGTTGTTTTCTTTCAGTTAAGAAGTTTTGTACCCAGTTCTTTATTTCTTCAGAGACTTTCATGTTTTATAACTTCTTTAGTAAAATTTTGTGGTCAATAAGATCGAAAGATTTTGAAAAATCTAGCAACGAAACTCGCACTGAGTTACCGGTTCTGTCAAGTTCACAAAGCAACTGATCAGAGAGTGAAAAGGAGTATAATTAGAAATTGATCTAAATTATTTTAGATCAATGACTTCCCATATGGACTCAAAAACCCAATAATTGATTTCTTAATATTTTCACTCCTCTTTCCTTACTGACAACATGGCGGCCAATTGCGCGGGGACAAGTTTTTGCGAGAGTGAGCCATTGAGTTCTATAATAACTGGAAGGGCTAAGTGGACTAGGGCGATGTTGTCAAAAACATGGATGCCAATTGCCCTATTTCCGCTGAAATGTTCGCTTTGCAAAAAAAAATTACTCTCGACCTCCTTCTGTCATTTATAGTAAATTATGTAGGATTTATTCAAAACAAACACAATATCTTTTTTGGTATGTCTATAATAATGCTAACACCTTTATCGTTCAATTGTTGAATACCCTAATGAGCACAAATAGGAACATCTCACTGTTACAGGAAAGATATATGCTTGATTTGTTTGTTCATCAAAGATTGAAAAGCAATTAATACTCTTAAAAAGCCACAAAATCTAGAAGACCGTATTAAAAACACTGACTTGCGTACCAAATATACCGATATTTTCCTGTTTTTGGTTATGAAACTCAATAATTTTACCCAACTATTGGCAAAATAGTTTTCCTGATGCCAAAATAGAGCCTGTACAGTTTCTCAGTGGATAGATAACATGAAGAAACTGCCACCTCAAACAGTAACCATAAAATGGAGCAGAATTTGTTCTGATCTATTTGCTGACAACATAAAGAGATAATCAGGTAGCAAAGTGTTTCACGAATATGATGCAGCATTAACACCATTTCTACATTATTTTAGGAGTTTTTGATCGTGGTCTAATTTTATGGATGGAGACAATATATTAAGGATTCCTTGAATGCTTTGAAAGGAAAGTAAAGGTAGCAAAGAAAGATGGCGAGGCAAGTTTTGGCGAGGCAAATTTTGAGCTATTTACCTATTATAGCAAAGAATGGACACATGGCATTTGCTTTATTTCCTGCTTTTTTAAAAACGGGGAAATTTTTTGACTTTTCCAAGTGTTTCTTCAATTTTTTGCATCGTGAGTTTGTTCATGATATGGATGAGAAACAGGTAGTACAAATCTGTAACTATATAATTTCTAAAAAATCTTTAAGGTTACTTTAAATCATAGATCTAAATGTTTAAATCTTAAAGGTTATTAGGTAATTTGTATACAATATTTATTTTTATTTATCAATGACATATACCCATCATCACTTATGCTAACTTGAGTCTTTTAGAAATTTGAATGAAAACTAATCACAAAAAATCAAGAATATTGAGTCAAGAGGTAACTTTCCAGCCATTTATTCATTTATACAGAGTGGCATGCGTGTACAAGAGCAAATCTTACAATTGTGACGAAAAACCAAAAGGCCATTCCATGAAAGAAAGCAAAAAAGTAATGAGAATGAATGACTTAAAATGACTAGCACTTCTCACGGCAACCGTACAGATAAACCATGATGTACTTTTTCTTTGTATAAACCATAAAGTTTAATCAGCAAACAAGTTTGAATGTTGACGTCGCTGCGTCGTGCATCTGCGTTGATATGTAGCCAGCAAAAAGCTTCTTCGTCGGTAGTTATAAAAACGCATCTTCGTAGGAGCCGACAACTAGCAACCACAGTTGACTCGCTGTTATGAATTTCAGTTTTTTACCTTGATTTTAGATTATAAATTTGCTTGTCAAATGCCAAATAAGAAAATACTTTTTTCTCACTCTTTCTTCATGAGGGAGTGAGAAATTGCAAAGTTTTCTGCAAAGCAATCAATTTCAGTGAATATCAGAGGAAATAGGTAAATTCCTCCATTTTTTTGACAACATCTGATTTCTAAAGCCGCTCTTGAGTTAGCCGCTCCAGTTATTATAGAACTCAATGGAGTGAACATAGTGTATAATACCTATATAGTGGTTTAGTCCACTGATTCAGCAACAGACAATTTTAGGACCTGGAAATATTTGTTGAAAAAATTGATTTCAAATGATAGTGTCTCTAGTTTTACCAAACTAGTTAACAGCATGGAGGGCTAATCATTAAGTTCTATTAAATTACTTGGACGGGAAAATGGGCTTGGAACATGTTGTCAAAAACATGGATGCCAAAAGGAAATTTTGGGTGAAAACCAGGGGCGGATCTAGACCGATGCAACCGATGCGAATGCATCGGTCAAAATATTTAGATATTAAAATCTGCGAGTTTGCATTTTAATGAAATAAATAGCAAATATTATTTTCGAATTATTTAAAACGCACATTTGACAGTGATATATTGTTTAGTTAACTTATAGATTTAGCAGTTTTAAGCTAAAATTTGTTCTAGAAATAACATTTGTGTTCTCCGATAATTTTGTCGTATTCCATGACACAAATAGCGAAAGAAAAGTCGATAAAATTTAGCGAAATTTTGTCGTGAATACATAATTATTAAGTAATTTAATAGTATTCTGCCAGCACGTCACGGTAGATGGAAGAGGCATCGCTACGTCACAGTAGATTTGCGATGCATCGGTCGATGCATCGGTCCCGAGTCCTTTTCCGCGTGAAATCTACTGTGACATCAGCAAAACCATTGTTTTAGGGCCTCACGTCACGGTAGATTTTGCCGCTGAGCGATGCATTTTCCATAATTTTGTGATTGTGGGCACATGGCACCGATGCATTCAACTTTGAACTTCAAAGTTGAATGCATTGTTATTTGATCACTTGATATAACTCGCAATCATCGATCGAAGTCATGGCTGTCGAGAATATCAAACACGATCTGTGTACTCTGCTTCGAGAAGAGAAGTCATTTGATATTAATGGAGTGCGTCGAACCTATGAAACGAGAGCTGCTACTTTTATTTCAAAATCCTCTCCTTGGAATCCCTTTTCAAAGGGTAAAAATTGGAGAGATATGTCAAGTGAAATGTTAATACCTAAGCACTTGACAGTTCATTGGCAAAGTGGAGAACTAAGAGCTTTAAAGTAAGTAAATTTACCTTTACGCTTGCATGTTTTAAATGTAAATAGTGTACTCATTTCAGACTCAGAGTGTAGTCGTGTAGATAACGACGAACAATCATCATAAAATATACACGATGTCATATTACTTATGCAGCACTTATACTTGTATTCGTATGTAATATAATACAAACTGTAATATGCAGGGGTAGGTGCGATTTTAGTTGCATTTTAGTTTATGTATTGTATGGATTACATTAAAAATGTAATGACTGTATTCCTTCTTCCAATATACTTATGACTTCAGTAGAAGCTAACATTTTCTTTTCAAATAACCCTGTCAGACATTTAAGTTTTGAATTCTTCTGATTTCTAATTTTAGCCACACAATGAGAATTTTCTTAACTCTGCTATATTTAGAACTAGAGGTGATGGTAATTGTCTGTACAGAGCCTGCTCAAAATTACTTTGTGGCAAGGAAGACCTATGTCATTTGCTGAGAGACTTGACAAGCATTGAGCTATTCAATCACCAGGAGTATATGCTAACCACCCTTACTTAAAAGATAAGTTGCATTTTTTTTTAAGTCAGAAAATACTGCTTTTTTCTGCATCAGTATCAGATGTGGCTTTAGGCAATGGCTATGATAGGAAAAATCCAAGCACAAAGGTAATAGTAGTTAAAGAGGAAGCTCTAAATAATGCATGCAATGGTACTTATTCTTCACTTATGTGTATATTTGGTTTGTCTTCTGTCACTGGAATGACTATAATTTCAGTTTATCCCGAAAAGTTGGACCAGGAGACCAAATATTCACAATTTCTAAATGGTAAAATTCTTCCACGGCAAGCACACCAACATATTTCAAGTCAACTTGTTCAGCCTGCTAAGTTAATTTTAATGTGGACAACTACTGGTGCTTATTCTCTTCCAGAATTAGATATAGAATTTCAACCCAATCATTTTGTAGCACTAATTGAATTTAATGAAACTAATAACTCAAGAGTTAATAATAAAAAAAAAATTACTGACCACTTTAAAGTTGATGTCTTACAGAAAAATAAAAGTGGACTTGAGCAACAAATAGACACAACTTTGGTAGCACCTGCAAAATCCTCACCAAGGGAAGACTTAGATGGCAGCAGCAAACATTTCATCTTTGCTGTGGTTGGAAGAAGACGATCTTTCAACATTGCTTTTATAATTGTTGTCATCTTTGCTGCCGTTAGAAGAAGACCATCTTTGAACATTGCTTTTATTAAACTTTTCATCTTTTTTACCGTTGGAAGAAGACCACCTTTGAACATTGCTTTTATCAATGCTGTTATCTTACAAAAGACGGCTCATGTTATTTTTTCGATAAAATTTACGCTTAAGATTTTTCTGTCACCTTTCCCAAATCGCTGGAAAATGCTTCTCAGATAGTGAAAATTCAAAAATTTTCTGGGGGAGCATGCCCCCAGACCCCCCTAGCGGTGGCTCGCACCTTCGGCGCTCGCAATGCATCGGTCAGCTAAGGAGCTGGATCCGCGCCTGGTGAAAACCTTCCTCTTGATTGTTTTTATCATTCACTCCCTCCTGATTTCTGAATACTGAAAGTAAAACCAGTGAAAATAATGGTGAAAACAATCACGATTGGAGAGAACACAACCACTGACATTACGAGGTACCGCACGCTAGTGTCCAAGACCGGGCATATCAGAATGCAATTTTCGTCAAAACGGTATTTTTAACCAGCGATATTTTCACTTCTATTATAGTTATACAAATACTATAGAAAAATTCAACGCTCATCACACTCAGTGCATTCTGAACATATAACTTTTACCAAAATGTATAAAGGTGAAGCTTTATTTAATAAACACGTTGTGGAAACTTCTCCAATTGTCGCAATTCGTTTTATTATAGATAGTGAAGTTTGCATAAATCCACTGATTTGTACTAGTAGTTCATTCGTAGTTCATATCCTGGGCTAAATGCTCTTGGTAGTTGGTAGCCCATATCTATCAATAGTTCTCCCCTGCAAATATATGTTATAAGTAGCCAAATTTCAGCAAAAGACCAAATTCGTTTCTTGAGTTTCTTCATTCTGTATGGCATTAAGTGAACTTTACTATACACTGGAACAATATGTCCGAGTAGGGAATTGAAGCCATATGATAGCAGCCATTTAGGCCACTCTAGTCCTTTGGTATACTAAATAGAATTTTTATATTTAAAAATTTTTAAAAGTGAACTTGTCCTTGACATAGCTAATCGTTCAAACCACCCAAATATTTTAGTTCCATGTTAAATACACAAACTCAAAAGGTTTTTTAAAAATTGAGCAATTTGCAAGAGAAAATGGTTTTTTTTAAAAGCATTTTTTGTGACATGAAACACACACAATACAAATATATATACAGATCAGTAAAGTCTTTGTACTGTCAGTGTAAAGCATAAAAAGAGAGAAAATAAAATAAACACATTCATAAAACCGGCCGGTAAGCTTAGTATATAATATTGTTAAAAGAAAACAATTAATAAACTAGAAAATCGTGAGTCATCAAATAAAGATATATCACTGGAACATTTTTAAAACGTAAAAGGTCGTAAATTATAAACTATCAGTTTTATAAAATGCTTTAAATAATAATATATTTTTATCTATTTTTTGGCATTCAGTCCATCATCATTCATTGTATTAGTTAGTCGATGAATCCCCTAGATTATCGCCGATTGTTTTCTCGTTACATTTTTACTGCTGTAGCATACACTAAGTGTGGTCAATACAATTTCGAAGCACAAAATCTGTCAAAAAACAACAATGAATATTTTTTCATGTTTGTCAACTGCCAAGAAGCCAAAACAAACGTCAGTCGTAGAAAACAATTAAAAATGAAATATTTCAGAGGACAGTTGATTAAAATTTAGCTGAATGTTTGGCTTCAACCAACCACAAGACAAAACTATACAAGTATGGTTCCAGTTAATTTTATACATTTCACTGTTGATTATACGAAATTACCATGGTTGCAATTATTACGATGTCTTTAGTGGTGTAAGTACGAGCATTGAGCAATCCTTTCTATTGCTTCTTATTGCGTTCTGACATATTAACTTATCATAAAGATATACCATAAACGTAGCTATGATATAACAATGGCACATGGTCTACACCCACTTGGTTTTCACCAAATTTACATTTTAACAGTCGTTTTTTAAATAAAATCATTATGATACTCGAAAATTTTGCATTTTACCAATTAATATAATTTTCATGACTAAAACGTCAATGAGATACTGATGTTAGCTTTTTACCAACATTATTTGCGTGAGCTTCAAGATATTCTTTTACACAGTAGCACATGTTCAATTTGGACCAATGTTTAGCAATGAGAGGTTTCTCATCAATGAGAGGTTTCTCATCCTCCAAGATAAGGACTTGTAAGCTGTGAATAATTCCAAAATCGACCATTTTGTTTTCATGAATTGTGGAGTCATACAAATTCACTTGTTCACCTTCTCGTCCCTTTTTAAAATTAGACCATGACTCATTTTGTCAGTAACACAAAGCAAAATTCCTGCCATACGCTTAGTCTCTTTGAACTTCTTTTTTGCACAGTCGATGAGTTTTTCATCGCCAAACTTAGTATTGTATATTGAATCTAAGAATTGTTCTTTTTGTAGGGCAATAAGCACCTGTGTACATGGCAGCACAGGCGTTTTCTGAAGCTTCTCTAACATTTCACTCATCAACTGTAGCCATTTCTCTTTTGGTATCTCCTCAAGTGGTAAAATATCCTCCAAGATTTCCCATAGATCCTCCAAGAATTTTGTCCCTAACGAAATGTGACCCAATTTTTGATCCACCTGTCCAGGACATAAACCCGTTTCTTCGATATATAGTAAATATTTCATGCAATTCCTAGCACATGGTGCGTATTTACAGCATAAAGCTTTGTTCGTATCGAGCTTGAATACCTAAAAACAAATTTCCGTCACAGAGTGAAACACATAGCTATGTAACAAGTCCATTTTTAGGGCAAATATTTGGAAGTTGTGTTTAATCTTCTAAACGTATGGCTCTTAATTTTTGCTCTATTCGAGTAACCTAGATGCCTCCTTGATCACTTAAGTGGTAAATTATCGATAAGTTTTTGGCACATTTTTGGCAAGTAACTTTACTAAACTTGAAACTGACTATTTTGGCTAGGCTAAAATACTATCTTACAGCTGACAAATGATGTGATAAACTAGTCATTGACCTAGCTAAAACATTCTTTCTTAATTGGATTGTCCATTCTATAATATTCCTCTTGGAGTAATATGGAATGATCTCATCACTAAGGAAAAGTATTCGGCAAAAATTTTTTTATAAAACTATTCTAACAATATATACTCATACTTTATGGGATGTACTTGGTCCGTTGTGTTCTTGCACAGGCTTCTCTCTAGTTTGAAGCTACAAGAAATAACAATTAACTAATCCATAAAAGTGATTTTGGGAGCTTTGAAAGTGTAAGCAGTTAAGATAAAGTTCAGATATTATTTATTCATTGGCAAAAGTTAGTGTGCCATCCTTCTGAATAGCATAGCTTTAAGAACTTAATCAGTCATAAAAAGTCTTAATTATTCAGTAATAAATGGAAAGACTGAATTAGTCTGGATGATCAGTAGTAAACCGAGATAATTTCAAAAATTTTGAAATCACCTCAAAAAATGACCTAAAGTTTAAAAATTTGATCAGAAATAAAAACAAAGTATATAGTCTAATTTTACTCACAATATGCACAGTTTTTCAATGTTATTCAAAGAATAATTCAGAATAATAAATCGTGTAAAACTACTTCATATTTATACGAAGACCATTTATGTTATCCATTTGAGAAAAGCATAAAGACATACCGTATGATCAGTATTTAGTTTACTATGTTCATCTTTTTCTGGTTCTTTCATCCCTTCCTTTGCAACTACAACCTACAATAGACGAATGATGTTGTTCAAAATTTTCTTTGCCAAAGCAACAAACAAGATTGCACACAACATAAAGAATTTATGTGAGTTAAGCGAACTTGAGAGAGAAAGTTTTCGTAACATGTTGTGAAGAGTTTCATTACTATCCGATGGTCTTTAATATGAACCATCGCTTTTTTCAGGGAGTCTAGGATAAGCGACTTTTCAAGATATTGTAGGATTAAAATAATAAAATAGTATGAATACACATGCACACGAGGAGTAGTTTCCAGCCAATTTTTTTAAAGGCGTACAGGGCAATAGTCAGCAAAATGGTGTTTCATCATCGGGAAGTGTTAGGATCGTCGTTTTTAATCAATGTCGAACTTTTTGCCATCTCATTCACTTATTGAAAAAATTAGCAAACGAACTTGTAGTAGCTTATGCAAGGGTGGTTCCAGTATTTCATTCAGTGATGAATGCATTATTTGGAAAATTTGCATTATAATAACATTTTCATCAACAAGTCAATAAGTCATACGATCTTAGTGAAGAGTGCGCACCATCTGCAACGTGTTCTGGATCCGCATATGTTATATTAGACAAGATGGCATGATATAAAATTAGAATTAATTGCTTTGGATAAACTATAATAAAAGTGGATAAAACTGATATGATTATTAATGAAAAAATATAATAGTTGTTAACATGAAATGCGGTTTATCCACTGGATTTTCTTTCACATAAAGTTTTATGTGGGGGTCTAAAGGCAATATTAAAATTTACAATTAAATGAATATGCCGAAGCCAGCTTTTCATGCTTATTTTAATGATAGTATTATCGTTGAAAACTGCAATTGGATCTCTTTATTTTTCAAAATCCAGAAGTAAAAGCAAACACGTACAATTGTGTAAAGTTGGAAGTTTGTTAGTTATATAGGAAACGAGAACAAAGCATAATGTAATCATAGATTAATGTCATGTGATAGACAATACTGATGTGAATGCGTATCTGATTCTTGCAGTTAAAGCATGATTTCACCATAAAATTTCCCTTATCAGCACGCTGTTGTCGTTTTGGCTTTTTCACAAGAATTGGTTTTATGCTCGAAGATACAAAGCTCTTGACATTGTTAAAAAATAAAAACGAAATAGAAACCCGTTGCATAATTTAGGTAGAATAGCAAGGAATTAATTTCACTAAGTTTTTCTCAAAAAAACATTTCAATGATAGCTGCTAAAAATGACGATCATGTTAATTGCTAATGTTGATGCCATGCGTACGTATTTGGTTCATGCAGCTATATTATAAAGGAGTTTCTCAATGAGTTTTTACAGATGTTTTTATACCTGGTTAACAGCAACCTGTGATGGTTTTGATTTCATCCATGAAGATTTCTTCACCAAAATTGATACAATGAATGTATTCTGAAAATGCTAAAAACCAGGTAGTCTTAAAAACTCACGCACATAAGATTTCTTTAGTGGCAGTCTAATCATGTAAATGTTAGGATCCTTTTTGTTTAGCTTAAGTACTTTCAATCTCGCTTACTCAAAGAATATTATTACATGCATTAGCTAAGCTAAAATAAATATAGAGAAAACTGCCATGATAAAATCTATAAACGAGATAATTGATTTAATTGAATATTTCACCAATGGATTTTTACTCCTAAAGTGCCTGTGGCATAGAACAATATTAAATACATCTTCTAAAGCCTAGATGACGATGCCTGTTTAATGCAGTTAAATCATAAATAAATTCATGATAAGATGTTATTAGAACATTTACCTGATAAGCTACACTCAGTTGCAATTTCAAGTTCTTCCAAAACAATTTTGTCTACAAAGATGAAAGAGTGAAGATTAAGTTCTGAAATAAAAACCACATACAGAAATTCCTTCACAATTGGTTTTTAGAAAAACAAACATAATGAACACGAATAAACACGTCCCTACTAGCTACGTCCTAGCTACCATGCACGTTCCAGCTACGCCCCTGTAGTTTTTACTCAAATTAAGCTTTTTTTCCCTCCTTGTTCACTTAAATGGTAAATTATCTCCTAATTTTATAGCATGCAGATTTTAATTGGCAAGATACAACAGACGACAAATGACATATGACAGATGCACAATTTTTAACCTAAAAAGTTGTTTCATAAACAGATTTCCTCTCCTATGATGTTTCTCGTGGAGTACGGGATATTATTATGTGATTCATGACTTATACTAAGAAAAGTATTCTGAAGTAATATTGTCTATAAAATAACTGCAACAAATATACTACATTGATGTACACGTGCATTGTACAGTGATGTACACGAACTATTCCATCAAAATGATTGTAGAAGATTTGAAATTTTAGATAATTTAGAAAAAGTCAGATATTGTTTCGTCATTGAGCAAAAATGTGTCATCGCTCTCAATAGCCTGTCTTTAAGAGCTTTTTCAGTCAGCTAAACTCTTAATTAGAATTCAAAATGTCCTGACGAAATTGTTTAAAAAATGCTTACCCATTTGATGAATTTTAAGGAATGTGCGAAAGGCTGTAATACTTGATTGCTCTTTAAATGATTCAAATAGTTGCTATCAACATTATAACTCGAGTGTACACCGTTTATTTCAGGCTCCTCGGATGAAGATTCAGTAATCTCATTTGTTAGAACAGCAGGAACTTCTTCCATCTTATAATATTTGTCACATGATCCATCGACCTACAAGTAAACGAAAATTCTAGTAAAAAAAATTTGACAAGAATTATATTTTTAAAAATTTTCCATGAAAGAATATATTGTAAAAACTGAAAAACACTACAATACTTTGTCCGTCTCCAATGACGTAGATTTGCTCTTGCATGATTCATTAACGATGTTAAATTTATCATTGTCTTTATCAATTATTTTAATTAGTTGAGCGAAGTCACGTTCCTGAGACTAAAGAAACAAAACATTATAAGTTCCAAGGACACAGCTGCTATACATTTTCGCGACTTTCTTCTTGCTGAATTTGGGTTGACGTATTTTTTAGTGTTTACTTTATGCATTGTACCAACACACAAAAAATCTGAAAATAAGTTAGTAAAAAAATTGCACCTAATTCAGACACAATTAAAAAATAACTTTGCAATAGGTTCTAGGGGTAAGACATGGATAAAAAACACTGCTGAGGGGCAATATCATATATAAATGTTATAGTTCACAGGAAACAATCAATTTCAAAGTAGCTCGATACGCCAGAACATGAATATATGGATATATGCCACTTTTTGTAACAAAAGCTTTTCTACAGTTGTGTTAGTTGGTCTACAATTTTAGAACTAAAAGGACATTATGGAAAATTTACAGTTTACTATACCGGAGAGATTGTATCGTCAGAGACATCCATGCAAACTTCTGTCTATAAAATAATAACTTCATAATTTACATAATTCATAATTTGCAAACAAGAGTTTACCAAATACTTTTGTTCGATATTAATAATATATAAATACGCGCACCTTATCCTAATCAGTCAATAATAATTTACACATCGTATATGAAAATTAATGGATGGGACTCGAAACCCAGTGGAATTTTGTAACGAAACACAAAATATTTGTCATTTAAAGAGTGATAAATACGAATCTTTTTCTTAAGAAGAAAGAATGGTGTGAAAGTCCAAGCTTTTTCCATAACAAATAACAGGATTTTTGAATGAGGCTGACCCTGATATAACATATGAAAAGATGGGTAAAGCAATGATAGGTGGGAACTAGGGAAGCTGAAGCCCCGCCCCCTTTTTCCAATAGTAAAACAAAAAAGATATTTAGATTGAGCTGAAGTTATTGCTTAGAAGTGTTTTTTAATTAGATGTTATAGTAGAATTGAAGACTTAGTCACCCCACTTCACAAAATGCTCCGCCGTCCCTGAAAAAACCCACCGGTGAACAACACTTTTGCCCCACTTCTAACACGAAGCTCAAACATGGTACTTCCGGCAGTATTTGTTTTTAGAAAATTTCTTTTCGATGCTGAGCTATAGACTCGGTCGACAAAGAGAAACTACTCAAATCTATTTTCTACAATAATCAAACTTTCGCGCTTTGTGAAATGTTTTATTTGATTGGCAATTATGATTACTTCTTTGTTTGACCGATTAATCAGGAGCAAATTGATGGTTAAAGAAATACATGCTGTGGAGTGATGAATGTGGTAGAAAACAGTTAAATATGAAAGACTTCGTCACAAAGTTTTATAACAAAAAAAATTACCTGTTGTCGTTTCCTCATGATCAATGGATGTGAGGCGAAACTAGGTGCAACCTTTTTAAAAAACCCAATTAAACTAACTGTCATTCAATATGTGTGTTCAATACGCGTCTTTTTCTTGAGTAGAACATGTTTAAACTTTAAAGTAACTCGAAAGTCCAAAATTTTCCATAATAAATAAAGAATTCATAAATAGAAAATAAACAATAGCTGTAAACAGGAACCTATCACGCATATAAACAGTTTATTGGATGTACAAGGGTCACGACACGTCACGTTTGGAAAACAAACCCTTTCACAAAGCGCTTACTGATATTAAAGGAGTCACGAATATTTCACCAAAAATGTACAAACTTTAAACTTGTGTAAAATTTCCATTTTTTTCCAAAACAAAAGTCACGTTTATAAAATATTCGACACCTTGAGATACAGGATAAATGAATTGAAAATTTGAGATTACTCCTAAGGAGAGGTTTTACGTCAACGAAAAGCATTTAAGTGGGTAAACGAGGGAGGATTTTGGTAGGGTAGTAGTTGGATCAAACTGTCATTGGCCTATCATAATAATATTTAAACATACTTTGTCACTCTGTTCATTGGCAGAACTATCTCCAGAGTTCTCTCTCTGCGGCTAGAATAAACAAATAACAAAGCGATGACAACATTATCTGACTGATACTGAACATTGTTAATTTCAAGGAGTTATTTAATTCCAAAGGGGGGGGGTTAACGTAACACCTTTTGGTGGAGTAAAAAATTAAGAGCTATATCAACCCCT